GAGCAGCAATTTTTTTTCTTTTTAAAATACACAATCACTGAATAACAGCCCTCAGAAATGAATTCTATCATTACCAAAATAAGCTCAGTAGAAGCACTGTAGTATTGAAGATACTTCCCACAACCTGGCTACTCAAAGTGTAGGACCTGAACCATCTAGCAACATAAGTGTGAGGAGAAATAGACATGTACGGACTGAGAAAGTTTATTTTCCAATGACCCCTCAACAGAAATTAAAATATGAACCAGCAAAACATGAATAAAAACCACGGAAGAATACAACCTGGGGGAGTTGTGAAAATGAATTCTAGCACAGGAGTTTTTTGGCCAGTCTAGTGAGCATCTGATCCAGAATGGACTGGGAACATGGCGGTCCCTAAGAGCGCAGTCTACAGGAAAAAGGAATTCTGTAGGTATGATTTATGATTCAATAAGAATGTAACAAAGCAGAGAGAGACAGACAGACAGACAGACAGAGAGATAGACAGAAAGACAGACAGGAAGGCTAGAAACTCTAGACAAAGGGGGAGGTAAGGAGTAATATACAGGAGAATCACAGTGTAAACACAAAGCCAAAATTAGAACAGCAACCAATCTTTAAAAAAAAAGGAATTAGGGTATAGTGAGGAAAGCATATGCTTCCTTCTCTAAGGAAAAAACAAAAAGCTAACATTACTTTGTCTAATTGGTAAAATATAAAAAAGAATTCATTTGGACATTTTCTTTTGAGACTCTGTCTCTATCACTAAGGCTGTATAGAAAACAAACAAAATCCTGGCCACTGTAGACTTGCTTCTACTGTGAACCTGCTTAGAGCACATAACAATTGCTTTTATTATTCTTCAGCTCTTACAATCAACAAATAGTAAAAAGTTTAACATATCATAAAGTTACAAAATGGAATATAACTATTACGAATCTTATTTGGATAAGATTGGATAGCAACTGAAGAATAGAGTGGAAAATGGAAAAGATGTAATACTAACTGCCTGGACTTATCAAACAGGGACTCAAGAAAGCAAGTTCATTAAGCAGAAATATAATTGTAAGTATATAAAAGTCACAAGGCAAACAGTGGAGCAATTAAAAAAACAGGGATACAGACAAATACAACATACAGAAAATGAGGCCACTAGTGGGTGTGGTAACTTAAACCCTCATCTAATATCTATCAAGGTAAAAAGACATCCTTAACTTAGTATTTAAATAAAAAGAAGTCAGCACAGTATATTTTTAAATGTAAAGTATCTACTAGAATAATTCAACACAAAGCAAGAAAAGCCAGGGCCTCTAGACAGCACAACATAAACAGAAAAGGCTAAGTCAACTGCTTTTCAATTATAAATCCATTGGTACTGACTTTTAAAACTGTACAGAAAATTACATGATTTTGTTACTTCTTTGAGAAAAGTTTATAAGAAAAAAGCAATTTTGATAACATGAAAGTTACATGTTTAATGCTTTCACTTTGTATCTCTGATTTAAAGATTTTAAAGTGTAAGTTTGGGGCCAGCATGGTAGTACAGCCCTATAGTTCCAGCATTCCTGAGGCCAGAAGACAGCCTTGAGTTCAAAGCCAGCCTGAACTGCACAGCCAGACTCTGGGTTTTTTTGTTTTTTTGTTTGTTTGTTTTCAGAGTGTGAGTTTGTATATATACACGTATATAGTAATACCTACAATGTATCAGCTGTAGAAAAACTATCTCAAGAAACATTATCTTTTTAATGTTCCTACAGACAGAAGATTAGCACAGGGGCTGGGGATTTAGCTCAGTGGCAAAGCGTCTGCCTGGCAAGTGCAAGGTCGTGAGTTCGGTTCCTGGTACCGGAGAAAAGCCAAAAAAAAAAAAAACCAAAAAAGATTAGCACAGACTGCCAAGCAATAGTAAAATAAAATAAAACAAAATAAAATAAACTGTTTCAGTGAAATTCAGCACTACTATGGCTAGCTGAGATCAGCATAAATTATTTAATTAACATGTGCTACCTCCAAAACATTGGCAACATCATTTTCTCCTTTTAACAGTAGAGGGGCCTGACCATCTGATATTAAGGGGGCTTTAAAAAAATTCCAAGCATTTCTTTGAAAGACAAACAACTTACCAAATTCCAATTTTCATTTTTACTTTAAAAACATGCTTCCCAATCTTTAACAAGCAGTTTAAATACTTAAACTACTCAAACTTTCAATATTACACTGCACAGTATTTAAAAATCTTTATACATGACTTTTGGGGGCTATTAAAATATTTCACTTTAATGTAAAAAAACTATGGTGTATCCTATATCACCATAAAATGCTGCAGATTTACTTTATTATTTTTAAAGACACATCTTTGTTTTTCTTCTGAGACAACATCTCACTATGTTGACCAAACTGGTCTCCAACTGCTGGACTCAAGCATCCTCCTGCCTCACCCTCCTTTGAGCTGAGAGTACAAACATGTGTCTTGATGTGCCAGGTTTACATTACTTCTACATACATTTTATGTAGCAATTTATGTAGCAGTTTTTGCCTACTAGGAAATGTTAAAAGTCTTCCCCTTTCTCTCCTTTAATTCCACTCTCAGAAATTAACCAGTGTTATCAGTGTAAATTCTATCATGCTGTTTCATTTAAAATGTTGTTTTAACAAAAGGTATGAAGTATGCCTGTCTTAACCCAAAAATATTTTAATTTATTGTTTGGTAATTGCCTTAGGAATCTGTAATGACTAGACAGTATTCCAGTAAATAAAATGCTGCATATTAAGGAAACTGAAAATAACACTCCATATCATACATAATTAAAAGCAGCTTAATGGATACATAGTCGTAATTTGAAAATTTAAGTGTTCTGATTTTTCTTAGCAAAATAGCTTGAAGTTTTACATTTCTCAGTAACATTAATATGCAACAATAAGTAAAGTAGGCATGATTAGCAGCAGTACGTCATTTATCAGAAAATCACTCAAAACAAAAAACTCAGGCCAGGAATATAGCTCAGGGGCACAAAGCCTGCCTGGCAAACACAAGGGCCTGAGTTTGATTCCTAGTCCCCCCCAAAAAAGACAAAAAACTCCTAAATATACTGCTGTAATAACAAGGCAGTAGAATTGGGGAAAAAATGAAAAGTAAAAACAAGAGCCCAGACACAATTTATAAGCAAGAGGCACTTTACAGTACAAAGAAATCTAGATATTTAACCTTTCAATTTGAGATTTATTTTCATAGGAACTAAATTCTAAGTGTGGGAAAAAATTTAAACCCACTCTTAAAAGCTTGAATTATTAACATAAGAAACTTTGAATTCATCAACACAGGTATAACTCTGAGAACAGAAATACTTTTAAAACCTGAAGTTTTAAGAATTAACATGGTTTCACTACTAGTTTATCAAATAATACCCCTAATTTTTGAATATATCACATTATCTATATACCCAAATACTGCAACTGTAAAAAAAAAAAAACCACTTAAAAAAATGGTCCAAAAGATTTGTCTAAGAAAATTAAACACTACCGTGGAAAAGATAGTGGAAAACTATCTTTAACACTTCACAGACGTTTAACATCTTTAAAAACACAACATTAAAAATACAATTATTATGTGAATGAGTTCAACACCTAGAATAATGGTTGATGTCACTTCTTTAAATGATGTAACGATAGGCAATTTATATATTAACCCCAGTACCTCTAGGGAGACTAGTTTAGATGCCTATAAAAATGTGTAAGCTCATCTAATCTTTTCAAAATCAACTTTCACCCCAGCCCATAATTACTGCAGTACTCAGCTTTTTAAATACTCTAATTTTTTTAAGTATAAAATGCACTTTAAAAAAATCTTGTAAATATTAAGTTCATAATCATATAATCCTACTTTTGATTCATATTCTCCTAGGCATTTATCCAGACATACATATACTGAATTTTTTCCTTTTTCTACCAAATTTGGGATCACAGAAAATAAGTGCCTTTTAAGCGTTTATCTGAATCTATCACGGTCCAAAAATTTAATTCTTCCATCCCCAAAGTACAATGACATTTATTATCAGTTGCAAATTAATATATTTACATGTACTTTTGTGAGGTTTAAAATGTTCGACTTTATTATATCCACCTATAGAAAGCACAAACAGTTGGGGGGGGCCTTCAAATTTCCATTTTGTGAATTAGGATGGATGTGACTTGCACAAATTACGAAGTCTCAGCATCTGTTCAGATGAAAGTGGAAAATTATCCACCACAAACTCTACAAATGTTAGCTCTTTCCTTAATAAAAAAAAAAAAAAAGCGAGAATGCAGCACAACTACTTTTAACATAAACACAGTAACTACAAGTGAAAAGATGTCACGTTATCATAGTTTTTAATCGTAATCTAAATTATTTCGCAATCCACATATAATCGGAGACAACTCGGGAACGGCAACAATTCCACTTCGAGAAAATGCGTTAAATACATTTTACGCTCATGTGGCTACCTGGAAAAATACGCCCCGCGTTAAAACCCAGCAGCCAGACATTTCTTTTCAAGTAGGACAATTAAGGGCGGAGGGGACCAGCTCGAGACGTCCCCGCACACAAAGTCCCGGGACGAAGAGAACTGGTAATTACTTTAATGCCACGGGGAGAAGTGAGAAGACGAAGGTGAAGTGGGAAAACTTGCAAATCCCGGGGTCCTAAAATGTCAATTAACACGCGCGGTGTGCACACACTCGGGCAGCGGGACCGGGGCGAAGGGGAGTCTGCGTGACGGCAAAGGCAGAAGACAACAACCGAGGAAGGGGCGGGGGCGCTACAGGAACAGGCCGGGCGAGAGGCTGCACCTGGCGGGCGGCGCCGGCCGGTACCGGAAACGCGGGCGGCGGCGGCGGGGATAGGGGCCGGCGCGGAGGAGAACAGACGCGGCAGCGGAAGGCGAGGAGGGCTGGACCAGGGCGGGAAGGAGAAGAGACAGGGCGCCCCGAAGCCGGAGACGCTGAGGGCCTGAGGAGGCGGAGGAGGCCGGGCAGCGCGGTACCTGCAGAGATCGTCCAGGACGCTGCCGGGAATCTCCACCCGTTTGGTCTCCATGATGAGGACCCACAGCAGGAGCAGTGCATCCCGGCTCCGTGCGGCCGGGGACCGAGGTACAGCACGGAGACTCCGGCTCGCCGGACGGCAGGCAGCAGCGGCTGAGGCGACCGCTCCGACGAAAGCCAGAGCGGGAAGGGGCGGGACCCGCTCACTTCCGTCCCGCTGCCTCAGCCCTGGACCCCGAGGCTGGGTCGAAGCGCGGGGCGGAGCCCCGGGAGGCACGCCTCCGCTCTGCTTGAAAGGCCCAATAGAAATCCGGTGGGTTGTGAGCCTGCGCAGATTAAGCCAATGAGACGATTGTTTATTGGTCAGTCGGCTCCAATCTGTCTTCAAACTGCTCAGTTCCTGCTCAGAAAACTAACTTCCCGCCGCCTTTGACTGAGCCCCGCAGAGGCGTAGGCGCATGCGTGTCATGCTAGCTCTGCGCTGCTGGGAAGTTTAGCGCTCTCACGTCTTCCCCTAAGGATGGGAGACCAACATCCGGGACTTTGGCGTGGTCTGAGCAGTTACTAGCTCTGCGGGGCAGACTTTCAGCACTGTATTTGTTCAACACAAGCGTGTATTCATGATTCTTGTCACCAGATATCTTGCACACACAGTCAACACAACCCCCACTACCTCCAGGCCTAAAAAGATAAATCCCTAAAAAGAGTACGCCATTCCTGATGCAGTTCACCTCATCTCTCCCCAGGCACTTTGTCCCAAATATGAAGAAAACAAGTACTTTGTCCCACTGTTTGACACTTAGTGAAGTCTTAGGAAATACCGATTGAACCTGAGCCTGATAAGCATTCTCCTACCTCCACACCCACACCCCACTCCAGTGTACACTCATTTGTTCACCATCTTGCTTAATGGAGACCAACGCATTCGAGCTCCTTAGAGAAAATGAACTCATCTGTTTCTCTTATTTGAGACCCACAGTATCTCCTCCTCCCCCACCACACACACCTGCTCAATCACAAGTTTAGTCTGTTCTATCTTTTAACCACCCATCTTTTCTTTTTTCCTCTGTAACTCTTTTCAGTGCAAATGGGGCAGGGTGGGACCTCTCCTTGGATGGGAGACAGGGTACTGGAGGCAAAGGAGGGACCATCAAGAGACCCAACCTATCCCACTGGAGTCCGTGAGGAGCTCAGAGGATCAGGCCACTGCCAGAGGGCGGCTACAGGGAACCCAGGAAGATGAGCTCCCAACTTTATTCTTAATTTCTTTCCAAATCCACTGTCTTTAAGTTTGCATACTTTCTCCACACTGCTGAGACAACTACCTAGCAAGCGCCTCTAGCTCCATCCTTGACCTGTTCAACTGCCTTCATTTGATCTAGAGCAGGTCACTATCTTTTCAGTTTTCAATCATTCCCCTCATCAGCTGCTGATTTTGATAGGCCTTGCATCCCTTACCATGATGTGAATCTTGTCACTACCCATTTTATGTTCCAGTTTTCCAACTGTGTCTTTTTGCTCTTGGAGATGTCAAATTTATCTCTCAAGCATTTATAGAATTTTTACTTTTCTCCAATTCTTTGTTCTTCAGATGTTGTTCTCTTGTGATGTTATATTCCTGTTTCAAAGATAAAATATTTTCTATCTTTCAGAAAATGCTAATAATACTTGTTGAAGTTTCCTTCCTCTATTTTCTATTCCTCCCAACTGCTATTTGCTATTAAATTGGTCTCCATCAATCATTCGTTTCCCGTGGAACTTCAGTATTCATTGGTACTTAAGAGTAAGGCCTTAAGAACCTGGAGTCAAGTGTTGTAAAAGCTGGTTGGAAATTCCAGCACATGGATGGGGCCTGTTTTCTGAGCGTTTCACTAGGATGTTCTGGTCGTGTTATTGGTTGGAAACACCTGGTATAAGTATCTGTAGGTCATTCCCTCTGGGTCGTCAAATTCACCAAAGAGAAAATGCTTCCAGGCCAGCAGGAAGTTCTGTATTTTGGGAGTCAAGTAGAAGAGCACATACTGGAATATTTACTTTATTCAGTCCTCCTGTGGAACAATATACGTCTTAGTTTAGTTTTCCTAAGAAGCTGGCCCTGACAAAGGACTTGAGTTCAAGTAGTCTATAAGGGAGGTTATCCTAGAAAACACTGTCAGCAAAGCACAGAATTGAGTCAGGGATAAGAAAGCCACTGAAGGGCTTATCATCAAGAAAATTAACACTGTGGGTAACTGGAGCTTAATCCATCTAAAGTGCTCACAAGCACAGTGTAAGACACATGGCTAAGAATTACTCCACTCAAGGAGTAAAAAAGATGAGGATTTATATACAAACTCTGATCATCAGGCATTGGTTGAGTGCTGTTCCTAGGGTCCACACTCCCCACATGCCCCATAGGCAGCAAGGAGGGCTCTTGTGACCAGTGAAAGCCCGCAGGCAAGGAAACGCAGGTGCTGCCAGTTGGCAGTCTGGTCAATATCATATCTGGATTGGTAAGGGTAAGCCCCTTCCGTTGTTTTATTTTCCTGGCTACCATTCTGTCTGTTGTGACTGATGGTCTATTCACCGACTGTACGACACGTTGGTAGTTACCGTATTTTTCTTAGTTGTCCCGCTTGGAGCTCAGGTCTATTTTTTAGAGCGCCTAAAATAGTGGCAGTGAAACAATGGTGTAAGGCCAAGTGGGCTGACCCCCATGGACCAATGGTATAGGAACAAGCATGTTACAGTTACCACAGTGCAAGAGAGTTCCCAAAGCAAAGAGATAAGGAGCCTAAACTGCCCTGCCTGCAAAATGAATCGAAAGGTTTGCTGACTCCTGTTGTACAAACTAATTTTTCAGGACTGCTTAATAAGAAGCACAGAAAAGATTTATTAGGCAGAATTTTAAAAGTACACACTCCAGAGTGGTGTGGGGGTGTTCAGAGAAATAAGATACATTATTTCTTAGAACTGGGAACATTTGTGTTTCTCTGGAGAGGATGGAAACCTATGGAAAAGGTGGGCCATCCTCCCCACCAGAAGAGTACTGGCCCATTTTATAGGTGTGAGTCCTGTTTTTTTTTTTAAATGGATAATTTTAAGAATTCTTTGAATTCTCTCAGTCTGCTCCTTTATCTTTAGATCTGGTTTCTGTTCTTTATTTTCTTAACTAAGCCAATTTATAGACTTACTGTATCCTTAAGGAAGGTGGCATTATGGGTCTAGAGGGAAACAAGCTTAAATTAACCAAGGGAACACCAATATAGATAGCCTTTGGTAACTTCATCTGTGTCCCAGAAGCTGCAGTCTTCTTAAAAGTAAATTTTTTAGCTATGATTTTCCTTCTCTCCTTTCTATCTGTCTGCAGTCTTCTTAAAAGTAAATTTTTTAGCTATGATTTTCCTTCTCTCCTTTCTATCTGTCTGCAGTCTTCTTAAAAGTAAATTTTTTAGCTATGATTTTCCTTCTCTCCTTTCTATCTATCTATCTTTCTATCTATCTAGTATTTTTTTTTCCTATCTTATCTCATACCAACCACCTGCTAAAGCAATGAAGGAAGTCTTCTTGTGACCTTTATAGTACTTCAACTGTACAACTCTTTTTTTGGCTCTTAAGGGCCAGAAAAATCCCAAAATTCTCATTCAGTGCTGAACCTGCTTGCCCCACTAAAAGTGCCAGATATGTCTGTTGTGAAGCATCTTCCATGTAACTTTGCAACCCACTCCCTCTCCATCCCCTGCCTCCTGACGCACACATTTCCAGGAGCTGAATTAGTAGAGCAGTCTTCTGAGCCATGACTTCCAAAGAACCCAAGACCTCATCCTCATCCAAATGTACACAGGCCCCAAAAGCCTTTGGCTGGATAAAAAGCAAATCACTTAGAGATTATAGTTGAGGGAAAAGGCAATATTTGAGTTCCTAAACTATAATTCTGGTTTGATATGTACATAATTGACTTGATCAAACCTTTTATAATTTTTTTTTTTTTTTTTTTTTTTTTGGTTTTTCTCTGGTACCGGGAACGGAACTCACGACCTTGCGCTTGCCAGGCAGGCGCTATTGCCGCTGAGCTAAATCCCCAGCCCAAACCTTTTATAATTTTAAAATGTGCTATCTCATTTAGTCTAACTACAAAAATTAGGCAGGTAGGAATTAACGAGGCTTATAAATTACTGGTAAAGATGAAATGATTAAATGCTAATATACAATGGACTCAGAACTAAAATTCAGTTCTTCTAAACTCATAAGCAGAACCCTGCTTTAAGTAGAAGGACATAGCTAATTATTACATAGTATAGTAAATAATTTTCTTTTGAAAAATGATAATCCTCACTACAAATGCTGTCATCAAATCCTGATGAAAACATTTAACTTGCTTCTGGGCCTTCTAAACTCAAAGAGTCTGAAGGATATACTGTAGTTCAGTGGAGGCTGTATCCTACATAGTGTACCTGGTGTCAGTCCCTAGCACACAAAAATAAACAAATTGAGCAAGGTTAAACTAAGTCTATCAAAGCTTTTTTTCTTGGTACTGGGAGTCGAACTCAGGACCTTGTGCTTGCCAGGCAGGCACTGTGCCACTGAGCTATATCCCTGGCCCTGCCAAAGCTTTTTTTACATCTCTCAACATTCATGGAGCAACATATAATTGCCCGCTCTGTTAGCTCCACTCTGTCCTTTTGTTAGGTTATCTCTCATAGCTACTACTACTAAATTCTACTAGCAAAACTCCCTTGATCTCTAGTTCAGTCTTACTGACCCCTTGCACTTAGATGGAAGGGGTCTGAGTAACTGAGTTCTGACTAATGGAATATGGATAAAAGTGGTATACTGAGCTTCCAAGTACAGCTCCTGACATGCCCTATGCAGTTTTAACATTTTCTATCCTTTTACAAGGTGGAAGCTAAGAACTCAAGACCCTGGAGCCGCACTATGGAAACAAGAGCACAGATCTGTGAGCCTACTGCTCCTAGTAGAGTCATCCTGGAGCACTTGTGGCAGATTTTATGCAAGCAAGAATTAATTTTTGCTCCATAAAGTATCCCAGTCTTTACCCATGAGCTCATAGGTAAATCAGTCCTCCCTGTTTCAGCAGATGCATCCTGTAGTGGACATTCTTGCTTGGTTTCCCAGCACCAGTTCACCCAGTATACATGGGCCCTGCATATTCGGGTGAATGCTCTACCTTCAAATTCTTAATTCTTTTACTTTTGAGCTTATGTTTTGTAAGTGAAATTAGATGGGATGGTGGAGTATGCATGTAAGAAGAGGTGATCTATCCACTGCACATGTCTATTCACTCCTAACATTGCCATTTGCTTATAACATTTGCAATTCTGTCCTGTGAGTACAGAATTTCAGTGAATTTCCAGTACATGGAAATTCAGCAAGA